AAAAAAATAAAAGACAGATTACTGTTTTAGTTCATGCCTAAGACAGATGTATATTTGGGCCTACAGTTTCTTGGCCTTTACTTTTCTTCCTCCTCCTTTCAATCTCCTTCACTGGGCCTTAGTTTATCTTTATAAAACACAGATGTGATTGCACCACTCACTTGCTTTTATAGCTTTCCTTCATTATCTACAGGATAAAGTCCAAATAGTTTAGTGGGATCCACAAAGCCATTTACAGGCCTTGATAAAAATGTTTAGTTCTGCCCTATTCCCCATTTGTCTTCTCTATGAATATGAGCCTTTTCTTTATCCTCTCTTGAACTCCAAACTCTGTATTAGTATTTAGGGCATCTTTTTGTTTGTGATTTTATTATTTCTATACTTTTATTAATGGCTCTATTTTTTTTTTTTTTCCAGACAGAGTCTCACTTTGTTGCCCTCAGTAGAGCACGGTGCTGCTCACAGCAACCTCAAACTCTTCTGCTTAAGCCATTCTCTTACCTCAGCCTCCCAAGTAGCTGGGACTAAAGGGCGCCCACCACAATGCCTGGCAACTTTTAGGGACTGGGTGTCACTCTGGCTCAGGCAGTCCACCCGCTTTGGCCTCCTAGTTGCTAGGATTAACAGACATAAGCCACTGCGCCTGGCCAATGGCTGTGTTTTTCTAACTGATCACAGTGAAATCTTATAATTAATTCTAATATTCCTTCAAATAATTTCTTTGTGAAATCTTTTTTAGTCTTATGTGTTTCTACATAGTACAGGGAGAACATAAAATTCATGTGCAATTTACTATGTAAACTATTTTAGATTGTACCTGAACTTTATGTCCACCCTGTATTTTGATCATATGGTTAGTATATGCTGCTTTTCACATTGTATTAGCGTGTCCATATATGTTTGCTTGGATAGATTGTGAACCATTTGAAGATAGGAATTATATATAGCTCATGGGCTTACTCACATATGCTTACTTTATCTTGCCAGGCATGTTCTCAATGTTTGAATTGAGTCATTAAACTATGACTCAAACTATGGTTTATCCATTGAAATACTGTATACAGTTAAACTGTGGTTTATTCTTTGAAATATTGTATATAGTTCTCAGCTATATGTGTACATGAAAATTAGTGAGTTTCCTTAAGAAACTTAAAGATGTTTTGGTTCTGTAATATTTGCATTAAATTTTATGGTATGGTTTATGTTGGGAGAAGTGTGTTTATCTTAGTCTTATTTTATGGTCACAGATCTCCATTGAGATTATGATGATGTTGTGAAACCCTAGATTATCCTTCCCTCCCCAATGGCACTTTCTTCAAAAGCTGATAGGCTGTTTTAGAGGATTCAAAGATTCCTTGATGCCCCATCATGGATCCTCGGTTGATAGGACTGGGCTAGATATGCTTATATTCTCATTGTCTAGTCATAGTTATATAGAAAATCACAGAGAGATCTAGAAGTAAATAGGATAGGGATGGCTTTATTTTGATGGTGAACAGATCATATAAGGTCTATTCTCTATCTTTACCCTCCTGCTCTTAGGGGGAACAAATACGGTTTAAGGGCCTGGGTCTTAGAGTTAGGCTTAGCCTAGTTTTAAATCCTGTCTTGGCTATTTGTAGCTAAGTGATCTTGTCCCTCAATTTTCTCATCTGGGAAAATAGGGATAATATTAACATCTATCTCATAGGATTCTTTTAAGGAGCAAATGACATTATCTTAAAAACCCTCCTTATAGTACTTGGCACATAAAAGGAAAACTTGAGTGTTAGACATAACTTTTATTCCTTTAAAAAAGACTTTAGCCTTGGACACTGACACATAAAAGACTATTGCTTTCTGCTTTTCCAGTCTTGCCTATTGGAATGATACCTGAGATTTTAGTAGATCACAGAAGGCAAAATGTGTATGCCTGGCATTCTACTGCAGAATCACAGTAGAATAGTAGGTAAAGCCACAGTTTATACCTTCTAGCTTTTAGATTCTAGAAAAACCTTTTAGGTGGGGCTACTTTTACCATGTGGTCACAGAGCAATAACCTTTTTTCATTAAGTTTGTCTTTCTTTCTTTTTTAGAGACAGAGTCTTACTTTATCACCTTCAGTAGAGTGCCTAGAGTGCCATGGCATCACACAGCTCATAGCAACCTCCAACTCCTGGGCTTAGGCAAGTCCCTTGCCTCAGCCTGCCAAGTAGCTGGGACTACAGATGCCTGCCACAATGCCCTGCTATTTTTTTGTTGCAATTTGGCTGTGGCCGGCACCCTGCTCACTGAGCCATAGGCGCCACCCTTCATTAAGTTTTTCATAGGTCTCACATATTTTCTAGTAGTTCATGGGAAAAGTAGAGTTTGATAGTTTGCTAATTGAATAGCCCTATCCCTGAGTTTACTCTAGAGTACGTTAATACCTGCCATAAAAGAGTGGTAGTTTTAATTATTTGATTTCAGGTTTACAGCAAGCGATACTATACAAATCTTTTCTTAACTTCGTAGATGACTTAATACACTACATTAATGTTTCTTTCTTGTATACAGATATAATGTACCTGGTGTAGTCATATATTTTTAGTAGGTTGTGTACTTTTGAA